CAGGTACAGGAGAAGAGACACACTCACTTTTTTACAGTGTACTACATGTAGGGCAAGATATCTTATTCACTTTGACCTTGTATTGACCACCATGGTGATACATTTGACAAATTTTTAATAGCAGTATAATTGATATCATGATAAAACAACACAGAACAATGACAACATAGTGTGACACCTGGCCAAACAAACACCAAGAAAATTCCAGAATTCTTAGCCTTTCTGAGATGTGCAACAGTAAACCTTATGATGTGCTAAAAGCCTGAATAAAGAAAAAGCTAAGCAGGACACATTTCCATTTCTAAGATGGCCTCTGTAAGAGACATCTATATGAATCCTTAACAAAGACTTAGAACTATGGCTACCACATCAGACATCACACTTTCAAATAATCTATGTTCAACGAATATTTTCTAGTAAAAATTTTATGCAAGCAGCATGAAAACAATTATCAAACTTGGCTTTGTACTATTGACAAACAAACTTATGGAAACACTGGGTTTGTGTCACGACTGATCCCGAATATAAACTAATAATACACATGAGCGAGCTACACATCACAGTTTATGCTGTCTCGTTTGAAAAAAAAAAAAAAAAAAAGCTGCCAGTTCCAAGGGGGCACGGGTGCCTTCAAATTCTGTGCGTTACACTAATAAAGGTTATGTGCACAGTAAAGCCTCGTAAAACCCCTGAGCCCTGTATTTTGTAACCAATGGCCCTTATAATTAAAAATTCTAAAAAGACTGAGGGTTTGGACAAGATTACTTCTATTATAAATCAGCATCGAAGTGTCTTTGAACACATTTACGGAATATTGCTCATAATAGGCCTAGAAAAGTTACTATAGCACAAGGGTTCTTGGGTAGGCTAGTTGGTTTATGAACATTAAGGCAGAACGGCACAAAACACAGGGCAGGGAACATACAGGACACAGCGGCATTTCAACGTCCTATTTTTCATGCTCTTCTGCCACAATTGATTTTCATTCATAGTTGTTTGCTTTTTAGTGACTACAGATTTCATAAACTTTACAATTTGCAAGCTTTCCCGTTGCTCACAATACTTTAGAAGTACACTGGAAGACAAACTTGGGCTAGTTGGCGGTTAATAAATGTGAAGGGAAAACAGCACTAAAACACAATAAGAACTTAACAAAACATGACACAGGCGCTGAATCAGAATAAAATATTGATTGGAAAGCACACGCTACTTTATTATAAAGCAACCAACCTAGTCACGTGACACACCATAGTATCTGCACAGTAGAGCGATTGGGATCAAGAAAAATAACTAATGACGAAATGCAACATGTGTGACAATGCCCAAGACAAAAGAACAAACCCTTTACAGGCAAAAAGAAAGCATAACAGTCTGCAAAAAAAAAGTGCTTGTAATGCGGAAGTGTTGAATTCAACTAAAGAATTTCCTTCTGACTAAGGACGACCAACAGATGCATCCTTCCTCCTTCCTTTCAATGTAAAAAAGCTTCCAAAGACCCATGTGACTAAGTCAGCTGCATTATATATGTGTGCGAGTGCTTTCCAAAAAATTTTTACTTACAAGTTAGAACCTGTGTCGTGTCTTCCTTAGTTTTAGTTTACATTTTAGCGCTGTTTTTTCTTCGCAATCCCTTAGACATGCATTTCCATACTATTACCATACATAACAACCGCCACAGCAGATGCTGCAATGAAACTGGCACTGATACTCTGTCACAGAGTGTGTGGGAGTGCAAAAGCCATTATAAAAGCACAATAAAAGAAAATTCAGGGTAATTAGCAGTCACAACAATGATAGAAATGACACCTTGCAGTAGGACAGTAGAGAATTGAGCCAAGGGAATGGAAAGAAGTGCATACCAGTTGGTATCAAGTTGGCTGCATTTCACGAGAGTGTCTGGATTCTCTTCTAAACCATATAGACATTATTTTAGAGAGCCTTCCACAAAAAGCTATCTTTATTAGCCAAGTGTGTCTAGTAACAATGTCTGTTATATGCAGTGTTGTTACCATGGCGAACATAAAAAAAAACAACTAAACTTTTTTCTAAATGTCTCTTATAAAAAGGGCTCTTTTTTTCAAATAAACCCAAAAAAGTCCGATACACATTTCCGCTAAAATTTTTTCACTTCAAGTTTATCCGAAAAACTCCGATTTTAAAAAGCCATTTTCAACATTTGAAGAGCATTTTCAAAGCTGAAAATCATCAAAAAAAAGAGTTGCCCTCCCCTTTTATCCCCAATAAACGACAACAACCTCGTAAAGTATGTTGAATCTATTATAACAAGCTTTGATACTGTAATACTAACAAACATAGGTTTTTTGTTTTCAAGTGTCTGTACTTGCATGTATATGGGTATGCACGTTTGAGCCGTCCAGAAATTCGAAATACACTTAATGTGTTTGCACTTTTCATGTTCACATGTTTCATTTAAGATTTCCGAGTATTGAGCAATAAATATAGGTTTGTGCGAATATTCGAATGCTTTGAATATTTGACCATTATTACAGTATCAAATTCGCTTCGATTCGAATGTAAATTATTAGGAATTTCCAAGTATTCGAGATGAAGGAATAGATGTATATTAGCTGGCATATAACCCCTGTAAAAGTGGTTTCACTGCAGTGAAGGAATCCTAAGCCGTAAAAGCACTAGTTTCGATGTATTAGTTTGCATGCGACTCCCTGTAAAGGTGGTTTCACGGCAGTAAAGAAATGATAAGTCGTGAAGACACCTACCCACAAGAAACCTGGCTGCCGCGAAGCCCTACTTCAATATTTGATGAACATGCTACCCTCACATCAATTCATAATTTTTTTTTAAAGTTTAAAGCGTGTAGTACAGGCTTACATGCTCCCAGTCTAGCGAATATTAAAATTTGACATATTTTACAGGTTATCAATTGCATTCTACCGAAAGTCAAACACTGACACTATTCAATGTTACAGTCAAATCTCAATAATTCAAACTCGAAAAGGCCCAAAAATTTGTTCGAGTTATAAGTTCGAATTAACGAAAGCTAATTAAATGGAGGGCTCTCCATGCAGTGGCGCATGTGCATTGAGCTAACACACGAGGGGGAAGTTTCAGAACACTTATGTTGATTCACAAATCATAGGACATCCGTTATTTATTGAAGTAATCGGTGATGCGCATCTGCACACGTTTGCTTTGCGGCGAGTCAATAAATTTCGCACGCAGCTTGCAAAGCATTTCTACTTCAGCTTCAGCATTCTCTTGGCAAGAGAAGTTGTGCGCGGAAATGTCCAGCGCCAACACTTTCTAAAGATGACAGCAACGATTGCGTAGCAGAGCCTCAGCCGCAGCATGGCCAGAACCTGACTGAAAGGAGGAGCGTCTACACGCGGAGAGAAGCAGATCGGCATTCGAGAGAAAACCAACACTCCATGGCAGCGTTTTTTTTTCTCTCTTCGCGCGCGTCGTTTAAAGAAGAAGGGTTACGTGGCAGGGACGCAAAAGGGGGGAATCGTGGCACCGGCGCGTTAGAGACCCCCTCCCCTCAAGGCGCCCGTGCTCCAGCAAGGGCTGCTGAAAATAGTGCCTTTTTCTTTTCCTTCAACCACACATTCATTCAACCCAGCGACAGCTTTCCGTTTTTTTTCTCTCTTTTTCTCTTCACGCGTGGCGATGGAAGGAGAAGGGTCTTTACGTGGCAGGGACAAAAAAGGAAGAAGCGTGACACGGGCGCGCCACAGATCGGCATTTGAGAGAGGGCAAACATTCCACCGCAGCCTTTTCTTTCCTTTTTATTTCCTTCGCGCGCAGCGTTGAGGTGTCGCAAGTGCCACCGCAGTATTGGGCGGGGTGCTGAGAGCAATTTCGTAGCACGTTATATTCGAATTAATTGATGCAAGTGCTTGCACGTTCGAATTACCAAGCATTTTCACCCATTGGAATACACATAGCTTTGATGGGACATCATCCTGAGCTCGAATTAATGAGATTCGACTGTATTCCCACTTCCTTTGCACACAAAAAAAGACAATTGCACAAGACTTATTAAAAAATATATTGTACAGATTAGTTTGGTCATGAGAACTACGTCCATTTTTCTTTATAAGATGTGATGTATAGTACTTGAATTGGATTCGAAATCATTCAACCACAACCACTATTAGCTTCGACTTTGCTTCGAACCTAAAATTCACTATTCGCACAAGCCTACAATAATACTAATATTAGGTCTTTTATTATTCATCAAGAAGATGGGGGAGACAGGGAGACAAAGCTGAGAAGCAGGCTCAACAACTCCTGCCCCCCTCCTCCCTACCGAAAGCTGACTTAGTGAGTCTAAAGCATTGCACATCGACAGCTTTCTTAAAAGGGTAAATAAACAAAAAAAAAAAATGAAAGATGTTTATCAACAATACGAGTCATCTTCCTAGAAAGCAACATTCATATGAACCCATTACAGTAAGTAAAAATCCAAAATTGAATAATAAATTTCAAAGAAATGGATTTGATTGATTGATTGATATGTGGGGTTTGACGTCCCACAACCATCATATGATTATGAGAGACGCCGTAGTGAAGGGCTCCGGAAATTTCGACCACCTGGGGTTTTTTAACGTGCACCCAAATCTGAGCACACGGGCCTACAACATTTCCGCCTCCATCGAAAATGCAGCCGCCGCAGCCGGGATTCGATTCAGAGAAATGGATACTTGTGAGAAGTAAACTCTAATGAACACTCAATTTTCTCTAAAAAAAAAGTAACTCCAAAAAACACCCTTCAAACTTCTAGAAAAATAAACTCCGAGAACACGAAGCTGCAACAAAGTCTCTCTTGCAACAGTGGATCTTGTAACAAGATTTAACTGTGGTACCTGAAATTCACAATAAATAATTTATTATAAACAGCCCAAAATTTAAAAGATTATTTAAAAGAGAGTGTTCTGGGAGGAGAATTCACTAACCAGAACCTCCTTACATTAGTGGCTTATTGGTTCGCCGTTCAAGGGCGCAGTAAACACTCGTACCTGACCTCCTGTGCTGCCAGCATTTGACCTCCTGGTAATAGCAGTAGGTCTAGATGGTCCTGCTGTTGAAAGAGGGGTTGGCCCGTGCAGCTCAGATGAGTCACTGCCAGATGTCTTGGGTGAGGAAGATGAGACACCCTGAGCGAGTGATCGCGGCCTTCGAGCAGGTGAAGGTGAAGCGCTATCCTTCGAGGCTTCACCACCAGTATCTGTAGTCCCTGCACCTCCTGCGGACTTGCGCCGAGGCTTTTGGCACGCATGTCACGTGAGCAAGGCCATAGCAGAAGAAACAAAGTATGCAAAGAAGCACTAGTCACTACATGCACTGGCAAGTGAATGCACATAAGAAGAATGTCACTTCACATAGAAATATTTCCTGAAAAGCCCATGACAGTCAAGGAAATATCTGTGACACTATTCACAATGCTGTACACTTAAAGTATAGGTTAGAAATTACTGCTGAAATGCCAGAGTAATCGCCAAAGCACTGTCGACAGTTCTGCCTGAACTGAGAAGGTGCAACTGCTGTCAAATAACATTATAATAAACTGATGGTGGCAAATTCACCAAATGACTCCTCCTGAATATTGGGAATACCTTAGCAAGCACATTTACATAGGATGTGCAAAGTGGCAAGCTAAGTTAGAACATGAGGCTAAAGCTCAGAGTCATTGTTTTATGCCCTACATTAGGGACTACGATAAGCAATTTCATTTCACAGTGATGTCTTTCTGGGCGAGTTGTTGCGAAAATATCATTAAAGGCAGTGCAAAAATGTGCATGTTCTCTTTTTCTGGCTGCCTTTAATGATGCAGTTTCATTTCTCTGGTTTGTAAGCAGTGCTCACAAAGGCAGCAAAAGGTTCATCAGTATTCAATGATGTGCTATAAGTGTATATATTCAATGATGTGCTATAAGTGAATGTGAGTGCCAGGGTGAGTAATAAAGTTTGACATTGAATGAGCTTATAAAAAAATTAATCTTAAATAAGGTAATTACAGAAAGTAATTTACAAAAAGTCTCAATGCACTTTGAAAATTCGCCAAAAGAGAGGCAGGTGCAGAAAACACTTGGGAGCCTATGCATCCCCTGCTACCTATTCAAAACACTAGTAATAACATGTTAGAATTGGTTATGAACAAAACATGACGGTCATTGGATGCTTTTAGCTCCTTGCAATACCTTCTAGAACAAACAGCTCACAAAAGAATATTCTTCGCAGCGGTAGCTTTTGAAAGTGCAATTGGGACAACACAGGACAAGCACTACTTTTAATCAACCAAAGCTGTAATGCAAGACATCACAAATATATAGGCTTGGGCCTCTGAAGCAAGAGAACCGCAGAAAAGGCTAAAGAACATGATGATATGGTACTGCCAAGACAGGATATACTCGTGTATATGTACTGTGAATGTGCTTCCTTTGAATTTGGTTTCTGTTACTCAAAAAAAGCAGTTACTACTGGAATATGAATGACAATACCTATCTTAGCCACCAGTCGACAAAATTAAAGAAAACAAATGGCGTACACAAACCTGCACAAAGCGTCTCAAAGGTGTAAGTGGCAAATTAAAAACTGTGTAGTGATCATATGTACCAGTACTAAAATTTACTAAATTTCTTTGCAACAACACAAAAGGAACCACAAACAGTTGCAATATTAGTACACCCTTGCCTCTTCTTCCATCCTATGTACAAGTTTCAGCAAGAGAGTGTCAAGCCAGAGTATCAGAGTATCAGACAAAATATTTATTCAGCGATCCTCCTTGTCTCGAAGAAATTCAAAAAGTGAGGCTGCTGATATACTAAGCCCAGACATCTGGTTTTCAATATAGCCCCAAACCTGTGCATTATTTGTGTCAATGATATTTGATGCGACGGTCTCATGGCACCATACCGACCTGTTTGTGTGTGCATATAGAGTTAAACCTGCCTATAACGAACCTCCATATAATGAATTGCTCGATATAACAAAGTTTCTTTATTTCCTGCTGTTACTCCATAGAAGCACATGTACTTGCGCCCTCTACGTAACAAAGTAACAGCGAGAGACAACCTTAATATAACGAATTTTTTTGGCCCGAATTTTGTCATTTTGGCACGAGCATGCATCTTCCGCAGTTGCCCCGCCGTTGATGAAGCACTAAGTGGCGACGGCGTGCTCGTGGTACGGTGACTTCCAGGCAAAACGAGCGCTCGTTATTGCAAACGGATGTGCGCAACGTTGCCAGGGAGGCCTGCACCCCACGAGCCGCCGTTCTTGCTGCCACGGGTGCTTGTGCCGATGTGCCCTTTCCCTCCAAACCAAAAAAATATATATATATTTTTGCGTTGCCAGTGTCACTACAGCAAAGCACCTCATGCTTTGAGGTTGCGTCACATTTGTAGGGCCCCGCTGATTATGGAGGGCGTTTTACCGAATAGTTTTCCATGGTATCCGTGTCATTCGTCATTAGCTCTTCCTTTTCAACCCCGCGCGCGTTCATGGTTTCTCTGCGCACGCTTGGTGTGGCGCTCGACAACGTTCAGCTTTGCTTTTTTTTTTTTTTTTTCAAGTACAAACGATCATGTTGTACCTATCGTGGGGATGTCAGGTTAGGTGCTTATGGAAACTGAGACCACGGTGACAATCACGGATCTTCAGAGGTCGACTCATCAGGCGTTTGCGTTTCTAGTTTGATGGACCGTAGCCTTCGCGATAAGCCACTTAGCTTGGGCAACAACACGAAGATGCATTGAATGCAATGCAATAAACGTGAGAGCAACAAATTGTTATGTTATATGAAGTAAGGCTGGCAGCCAACTCTTTTCAGGAGTAGAAGTGGACTTCAATGTTTTGAAGCCGCTCAGGGAGCAAAAATAATGCTGTTTTGGCGTAGGTTTCGCGCAGTAATTCAATAAAAAAAAAGTTTTGAAGTACGTTCGAAGCACCAAAACGTGTTTTGGAGCAATGCAAGTTGGTTTTGAAGCAGCTTTCTAGGGTCAAACATCGGCAATCGAAACTCTTTATGGTAAAAAAATTCCAATGGTTTTCATTACACATTAAGTACTAAGGAGCTTACAAGGCTTATTAACAGGCCCATGCGCACATGTGTGTGTGTGATACAAAACATGCTCATTTTATACTGAGCTTGAAACAAAAAGAAAGATATATTTTGGGTGGTAATACCATGGAAATATTTCTTAATGCGAATGCACACTACAAGGAGTCTCGCTAGTTTCTGCAGCATTGCACCTGATGCGTGGAACGGAGTACAATCATGGCGCACTTCATTTGGCGGAAGTTTATTATCCGGACGATAATTAAACACACTACTCTGCTCATGTCACTCGGTCTGGAGCGAAGTGGGGATGAGCAATTCACAGAGCAAATCCGCTGGCATGATACAGCGAGACGCCCAGCAGCCACACTGTAGGCAGCATAGAGAGCCCCACGAATAACCGAATTACAACATGATCTAACTCCCCTGGATATAGACGAGGTGGCGTCATTGGTGTAATCAATGCTCAGTGTTGCTCCGTCGATGATAATAATCGGTTAGATTGGAGGTTCACACTTCCAATCGGCACCCATCATGGAAATTGCCGTTTATGTGCAGCCTGGTGCAGTAAGTCAAATTGGCGCAGAATGGCGCAGCGCTTCCACCCCTGTGTTTGGGATCGGATATCGCGAAACTCCTACGATATGCTGGTGTAAGCAAATACGGCCGCTCTAAGGAGAACTGCTCTTTCACACAGCCTTTTCATGTTGAAAGCTCACTAATCCTTGCCTAGATAGCGCATGTGCCAGCGATCGCACCCGTAAAATCAAAGTTCATCGTTGCTACTTAGCGACAAGCATAATCATGTTTTGCCGCCATAAGTGATATTGACGCGCTGAATTATTTTCCCCCATTTTTGCGACTAGAAGAAGAAAAAAAACATTGCGAAAAACAAGGAGGGGGGGGGGGGGGGGTCCCGAACGCAAGCACAAACATCGGCGTTGCGGTCTCGTAATGGCTTGCAGTGGACAAACACACGAGAGTAGGGTTTCCCAGTAATGTGAGAGTCTCAAAGGGGGAGTGCAAATGCTTCCGAAATTTTGCATCATCAAAACAACTATAGCCAAAAAATAAATTCCGTCGAAACAACTCGCGTATGTCTTCACACGTCAACGGACGGGACGGCGCAGCTAGCTGCCGTAAAAGCATGGATCAAAGCTTTCGCTTTGCTCAATACTAGATTTTTACTTTGCTCACTACTAGATTTTTAGGACAGGAATGCCCTAACGCTTCTAGCCTTTTTTATGTCTTTACTGACTTTATTCTACCGCTGCGTGAACCACGTGTCCTTGAAGCTTGTAGATCGCTATCACATCGCCGCGACGGTTGCGGCAAACAGTACTTTTGTTTTCACATCATGTGCCTTCAAACTAAGTCATTTTATGCTATGATCACGACTGCCGTGGTTTTTTCCAACAGAGTTTGCGGAAAGCAGCGTTGCTTTTACTGGTTGAGCGTTGGCCATGTGCCCACTTTCGGAGTTCTGTCAGTAACATCGTCGTCATTCATGATCGTGTTGAACTACCGCGGTTTCATCCACAGCAGTTGTGGCAACAACGACCACACGCACTGTAGAAGATAGTGCATGCGCTGGTCGCACGCGCACTTCCGAAGTTCGAGCACGCTGCTCTTGATCGGCCATCGTTCGACAGTTTCAGTAGTATTGGCCCAATGAACACATGAATTTGACTGGAGAATTTCATGAATTCGTATCTGCCCCGGGTTGGCATTGCCGAGACTCTACTGTACGTTTAGATGAACGCCTCTCTAATTTCTTTAAACAAAATGCGATATGCTCTAAAAAGCCTGGAACGGACTGCCCTATACTTTTGTCAAAGGGGCCACATCTTGCACACAACTTTAGATTTCCGGGAGATTTTTATGGCCACCATACAAACGGAAGAAACCATCAAAATCCAAGAGTACCCTGGAGAATGCGGGAGACTTAGAAGGTATGTGATGATGATAACACCAATACATATTGTTCTCTTCTGGTGGCCGAATATAGCACAATGCCGTTTTTCTTGCTTCCGCGACTAGCTACAGCAATGCACCATAGCCAATCGCGGAGGCCACTCTTTTTTACTCATTTTATTTTTTTTTATCGGAAATGAAATATTTTTCCTAAAACTTCCGGTAAGATTCGTACAATCGTAAGCGTGGTCAAAATTCGTATATTTTACAGGAAAATCGAAAGAGTTGGCAGGTATGCACCTGCCAATGGACTTTTTTATGCAATTCCACAATGCCCCGCGGGCATGCGGAGCACTATGGAAAAAGCTGCTATGCCGAGAAAACCGGCTTTACCTCCGCCCACTGCTTGTCGGCACCATGTGACGAGCACAGAACGAAAAGAACATGCCGCCGCTCGTTCAATAGGGTCCGGATGCACCTGCATGTATATCTACGCATGAAATGATAAATAAATAATGCAGTCAGTGTAGGTAACACTGAACGGGTGTACATCGAATGCAGAAGATGAGCGGCATGCGAGTTGTTGCGTACTGATACATGTGGTCAAAACTAGCTATCGTGAGGAATGTGAGCTGTAACACTGAATTCATAGTTATTCAACGATGAACTGCTCATAAGCACCATGGCTTTTAATACCATTCCGGTTTGATTGGGCCGTTAACACAAGACTGCAGAGAAGTGTAACCGCTATAGATTTAAAAAAAAAATTTTATGGACAAGTGACGCGCTGAAAGGAAAAGTAAACATATTTTGAACGTGTTCAAGGATGAAGGAATGAAACTAGAATTCGCATCTGAGATACCTTGCTCTGATAATTTGCGATTTCTTAGAAGATGCTTAAGTGTCTCTGCAAAGCATGTTTTCTTGCACTATATTCCGCAAGGAGTGAGACCACTACGGAAAATCGCGTCTGCGCATTAAAATATTGTTAAATGAGGAATGAAGATGTCGTTCTTACGCTCAGCGAAAAAAAGAGACAAAAAACAAAAACTTGGGCACATTACATGAGACCCAATGTCATTTGCATTGGTTTGTTAACAGCTCATTCACACTGCAAATGAAGACTCATTCGGACGACCTACACCCGCGAATAAACAAGGAATATTGCAGTTATTTCTCACATACGTTGTGCACAGTCTGCGAAGAAATTGGGCAGCGATACGAGGTGAGGGTTGTGTTTTCAACACCATATGCTTATAACATTTCTTCTGTAGAGCGCAAAAAGTTGCAGGGGTCTGCAGCGGGCAAGAAAAGTACTATAAGAGGCATGCCAATTGTTCTTTCAATTGTTGTGCAAGAGTTGCTAACCCAATTCTTCTTGTGTTCATATATATACATCAGCCAGACGGGTTGAGGTATCAAGACGCGCCTCAGAGAGCAATAAAATTCACTGAATCAAGCTATCTCATCGCACTTCACATTTTCAGTAATGCAATTTCACTTTTGAAGGCCTGGTAACCTTGCAAAGCCACCCTAACCAGACCGCGCGAGAAATCTCGGAGACATATCATAAAGAACAGCGCAGCCTGTTTAAGTGAATTGACCTTCGCTTACAACACAAAAACAACTTTATTAATTAACTATAAACACATGCCTCGGTTATTATTCTTTTTGTACCTCTTTGTGACATGTGCATTGCACCCCAATTTTCTTATATAAGTTTGTTAGAACATGCGATAACCTTTCAGTTGTGAGTGAGCACTTCTGATGTGCATATTTCTTTCCTGGTTCTACTTCTTTCTTTTTGCCCTGTAGGTTTTATTTCAACCTGAAGTTACAGTGCCAAGGGAAGTTGGTAGATGAATATGCTGCGAGTGGCGTGCAGTGCTTTAGTCCATGTATTTTATTTTAGGAACCAGCACTTATTTCTAAAGCACTCTTTAAATATACCAGACCTCTACAATTTACTTGTAAATTGCGTCAAAGGACATTGATTCCTAATGCATCCGTGAATTTATAGACTGTGCTTGCACCTTTCAGGCAACCAAGTTGAACTTTTTTTATTTATGCTAGAGGCAGACTGATGCTAAAGAACAATAATAATATTAACTGATGCTTCTGATTGATTGATTTGTGGGGTTTAACGTCCCAAAACCACTATTTGATTATGAGAGACGCCGTAGTGAAGGGCTCCGGAAATTTTGACCACCTGGGGTTCTTTAACGTGCACCCAAATCTGAGTACACAGGCCTACAACATTTTAACTGATGCTTCTGAGCCACTCAGCTAGTTGAACAGGGCGACAAGTGCAAATCGTAGACAGGTCATTGCACCAAAACACTGAAGTTTGTGAGTGAGTCACACAGTAATGTATCACACCTTGCCGAGTTCCCTTGACCTGAGAAGTGCTGGCATGGTGCAAACGGAAAATTGAAGCACGAGGCCTGTGCGCTCGTCGCGGCGGCTACTGCTGCATATCAACTTTCCCATAAGCGCTTGCGCGCCAGTTGGCGGCACTAACGTGCTTAACAAAGGTCTATAGTGTCAGTTGCTGGGACACAGCACTTGAGTGAGGTAGTGCACAGTGCTCTCGTCGGTTTTTCATTGCAATGAAAATGATGGAGCGACAGAAACAGCGTTACAGCATCAAGTTTTGCCAGAAATTGGGCAACAGCCAAGAGGAAACCATGGAAAAGATCAAGACAGTTTTTGGTGATGATGCTACGAGTCACACACAGATTAAATTTAAAAACGACTACACATCGGTGGAGAGCGAACCAAGCTCCGGTTGGCTATCAACATGCCTAAATGACCAGGTCATCGCCAAAGTGAATACTGTGGTGATGCAGGATCGTCGCGTGACTATCCGGGAAATTTCGGAAGAGGTGGGCATCCACACTTTCTCTGCACATTCCATTATGACTGAAGATTTTGTCATGAAGAGAGTTGCGGCGAAATTCGTGCCGAAACTGCTCACGGTGGAGCAAAAGCAACTTTGTGTTCAAGTGTTACAGGACATGCTGGATTTTACAAGCAGTGACTCCAACTTTATGAACACTGGTGGTGACCAGTCTTGGGTGTGTGGGTACGACCCAGAAACGAAATTCAAGTCATCACACTGAAAGCATTCCCCGTCACCAAGACCAAAGAAGGCCTGCCAAGGGCACAGCAATGTCAAAGTGATGCTGAGTGCTTTCTTTGACTCCCCCGGTGCGGTACACCACGAGTACGCACCACAGGGTCAAACAATCACCAAAGAGCACTACAGGGATGTCGTCTGTTGCCTACGTGATGCTATGCGGCACAACAGACCCGAGTTGTGGTATAACAAGCTGAGTATAACAAGCTCACCCACATGCCATAACTATGTCTCGGTCGACTAAGTGGTCCCGCCCGTGTGGCATTTTCAAACGCCACACGTGCATGCCAACAATGACTTAAGACCAGACGACCGCGCTTGGCCTGCTTCTTGCAAGACGTGCTTCTGGGTAAGCTTTCCCTCTTTTTATCCTAAACTGGGGTGACATTGACGGCTCTGCCCGTGAACTGTGTGAAAGACTGAGTCCCCTTGTTTCCATGCACGGGTTCTCTCCACTCGCCTTCGCGGAACGGATCGGCGTGATTAGTTGACTGGTCGAGAACTCACTCTGGACTCTGCAGCAGCCGCATTACTGGCGCTACACGCAACACGCCGCCAATGGGTTCCTCATACTAACTAGCGGGTTTCACTAGATGTCTACATCAAGGCCAAGACTTTGTAATAAACACTTTTTGGCATGAAAAGTCCCCCCCCACACACAAGCAACAAGTCATGACTCACTCGTCGTAAGCTGGACAGCCTCGGTGGTGGAGCAAGGGGCTTTTCAAACTCAAACACAATGACGGCAGCTGCAAGAGAAACAACAAAAATTTTAACATGCTCGAGTTTGTGAATATTGGTCATGAAATGCAGGTTCAATCCCCATGCATACAAAGAAGAACTGAATTCTAGCATTGATTTACATTTACTGTATTATTAAGGAAAGATGTTGCTTTGTAAAACCAACTGTTTTAAAACTTAGGAAATGTTGATAAAAATTACCATACATATTCAGCATGTCTTTCTTATGCTTCCATAAAAGTTTCAGAGAAGCATCTTCAGAACTTTTTATTGAAATAAAATTTTTACAATTCACAATCTTTACCACTTAGCACAGTGCCTGGAAAGATTTAAAAAATGCACTAGAAGGCTGAATGAATACTTGCTCTACAGCTGGATGCACGCCGAGTGTCATGACATGCCTGCTTTATTTATTTATATTTTTGCTACACCAAATTTTCGCATTGTGATTCTTTTTGCTACCTTCACACTAGGCACACTCTAGGGGTGAACAACTAGTCGCATCATTAAAGTGCAAAGAGCCAAATTAAAAAAGAATGTCACGACAAACAGTGAAGTCCAAGGAATATAGAACACAAAGCAGAGTCAAGATAGGCCAAACAGTTACGAAGAAAATGGCTCTCAGCAGGTAAGCACAATGAAACTTTTGAGATGATGGCTCGAGAAGTTTTTTCATGCCTCCACTTATCTAGAATGCACTGGGATCATGGTTCTTGGGGTTCTTTGTGATGTGGGGCCTCTTAGGCATTTGATGTTTGCTTTGGTGCGCTTTTTAAGCTTTTTTTTGCGTATTTCATTCTTTTCTGCAGTCCCGTGAATGAAGTGCTTGCCAGGCTTCCGGCCAAGCGATGCACTAAACTCTTGATAAGAATGGAGAGTGCCAGAGCTATACTTGCAGATGGCCTCATTCACAGCTGTTCCGGCAGCAACCAACAAAGCGTTTAGTTCTTTAGAAGGAATAGACCAAATTACTGAATGGAGACTCTCAGCTGCATTTTGGATTTTCTCGCCTTGGCAACGAATGAGCAACTGAGGGTCAGAAAGGCGTTGGTAGACTGGCAGCAATAAAGCTGCAACATGTGCTGACAGTTTACACGTGTGCGGTGGTGAAGCCTTGCCTTCAGCTTCTGCAGCACGGTACTTGCACCAGCTCAGTGGTCCAGGCAGACCTAATCATGGTGCCACACTTCATCTCTCGAGGTGATGTGATGAAACCTTGCCATTATGGCTTTTCACATCTCATCAACCCCAGTTTTGTCATAGATAGCCATTGCATAATCATTTGTTAGTATTTTAAAGCTTCACCTTCTTTTTACATCTCTAAAACACCTGAAAATTGTGATACTAGGTTTGCCTTGTAATATTTGAGTTCTCAGGCATGCAGCCTGTGTCCAGAATGCCTTTGCTGCCTATTTTTTTTTATAACCTAATTTTTTTGTTCTACAAGGAACAAGTATGAATTTCAAATCAAGTTCTCTGTATGAAGGAGTTGTGTGGTAGGCATGACAGAACATGTAATTGAATAAGGCCATATACTGAAATGATTACACATCTTTCTTGTGTCATTAGTCTTTGGTCACTTGTCATTAGCATAATTAGGCACTTCTCGATTACAAATAATCACTGAAAATTTTTTGTACAAAGAGAGGTTTATTGCATCAGAAAAAAGGCTCGCACCACGACACCATAACCCTTCTTTCCAAAAAACGAACATTTATGGGCAGAAAACTGGTGGCGCAGAAATTTTTTTAGCAGTTTATTTAATGACGCGAGTCCGGCATATAAAATCTCTTGCCCCTGCTTCTTGCATGCTCTTTTGCCACTCTAGCCGTGAAATGCATCATCATAGGGTCAGTCATAGAAACGCTGATCCACGAGGCTTTCATTGTCTCAGAACATTCCTAGATGCTCACGGCAATACCAAGCACGGCTCCAAGCACGTATAAATTGCATGACAAAAGCTTACTGACAGCACTCCATATGACCGTGATGTGCGCGGCCACGTGGACAGTGCAGCCGGCGCGTTATGCACTTTGCAGCGGCGTTCAGTGATGATACACGAAATGCACAGCTATGATGACAAAAAAACGGAGCGCAAACAGCTAGCCATTGTTCCGAGCAATCCTTGTCAGTGGAGGGGAAGGGGGTTGTCAAGCTTGACTGTGGGGTCCCGCTGCCTATGCGTAAGATGCTCATCCATGGTTCCGAGTAGCTAGCGTGTGAGTTGCTTCATTGCTTGTGAAGAAGCGTATTGCCACGCGTGCGCTAGCGCATCGTTCTTGCCCGCAAATTTCATCTCGCCAACAGCGGAGTTAGGCCTAAAGATGACTCTGATGACGTGCCGCGCTCATAGTAATCTGATCGAACATCTGCTTACAGCTTCTAACTAAAGCGCAATTATATTCTAAGTGATCGTTGAGCCGTGAACACGTCCTGAAGTTGCGATTTTCAACAGCCATGTCTTCGCGAAGCACAACCAGCTGACGACAATCTCCCGGAGCGAGCATCGGGCCAATGATGAGGCGAACCAGAGCAACATGGTGGCCACAGCCAATCAGGGGCCTTGAAACGACATTCAAACATATGCTTTTTGTGCACTTGTTTTTAAAGAGAGGAGCCAGCTTAGGCAGAAAATTTGAACATGAAGAAATGCCCTTTCCAATGAGCCCAGAAGCTGGCTCCTGGCTGTGCCATCAAGAAGCTACAATTTTTTTTAAATCACTATTTTCTCGCGATTTCCAAAATATTTTTCGCTACCTAGGTGGGTGAAACGAATTTTCCGAAGCACTACTACGCGGTTTTCAGTGTAGATATTTTTGAATCGATAAAAAAAAAGGTTCCAGAAACTGAAAACTTGATTTTTAATAAACAAATTTTTTTGCCATTTTTTGTGATTAGACATGTGCAAATATTCGAATGCTTAGAATATTCGAATGAATAGCAGAGTATTCGAATTTGTTTTGATTAGAATTTCAATTATCGAACATTTCAAAGTATTCGAAGTGAACGAATAGGTGTATATTATTCCGCATGTAACCACCTGTAAAAACGGTTACGCTGCAGTATAGCGGTGCTAAGTTTTGAAAGCACCTACCCAGGGGAAATTTCCTCTGCTGTGAAGCCTCACTTCAAATTTAGAAGGGCCCTGCAACACTTTTTGAGCATGGTCAGCAAACGGTGCCGATTGGTAGTCGAGGCTACTAAGAACAAGGGAGCTAAATATAGCATGGCATGTGACCTGGAATTCACAATAAATTCTCAGTCAGATAGAAATTCCTCTCTTCTTTTGGCAAATAACGCAACAATGTCAAAAATTGCTGATCACAGCCATTGTACTAGCCATTAGCTGATATGAGCATGGGGCACTCGGTCGTTACTGGGGTCGCTGCGGGAGGCCGCGACATGTCCACCCGTACATGCGCGATTGCACTGAAAACCCGCGTATACAAATAAAAAAGAGAGAGAGAGAGAGAGAGAAAAGTGCTCAAGGTCACGACACGCACGTGATGAATTTTCTCCCGGCTGTGCTTGAGGGGGGAGGTGGCATTGAAAAAAAACTTTTTTATTTATTGACCTACAGCAATGAAACTTTGCATGCATACTCATAAGTGTCTAGAATAGGGAATATGTAGTTTCATCATGATAGCTTCAGCAGTTCTCAAGTTACATAATGCTACACAATCCAATAATGCTACACGATCGTGGAAAGCCTAGCGCTGCAACAAAACATGCCCGGAAGCTGCGAATGGTGTTGATCTTTACTCAAAAGAAAGCTACAGGGTATGAAACTCTTGGAATTTTTTAATAGGTTCTCTTTTTTTTTTTTAGAGATTATCATGGCTGCCAACACACATTGTCAGAAACAATGGCACGGACAAATCATCGTCTAGAAAAACAACAGGGCCACAAAACAGAAATTGAAGATTGCTGTACCCACAAGCAGTGTTCAGGAAAAAAAAAACAGAATCAAAATCGGTCCAGTCATTCTCGTGCTACTCTTTCCACGAGCAATGCACAATGTCCAAAACACACTTGTGAGAAAAAGCCTGTCGAAGTTTTCGACAGGCTTTTTCAATGAACTTTTTTGTGTCTCATTGATTATTGATGAAAATTGGCACAGACACAAAGAATAACCTCACAGTGCTTCCATAAAAATTTTGAAGCGATACCACGAATACTTTACGAGAAACAAATTATTTCTTCATTGAACCATGTGGAGAGGCTGAGCATGTCATAAAAAAAAAACTGTATTGAGAAAGCTGTGTTTAAAGTTTCAACTTTTCTTTACGTCTCTAAGACACCTAAAAATTGTGATCTCAGGTTTGTCTTGCGATATTTGACTTCTTTTCATGATTTACTCCTTTTCATGAGTTACAAAGAACAAGTATGGATTTCAAACCAAGTTCTTTGTATGAAGGAGTGGTGTGATAGGTATGACAGAAAAAATTGTAATTGAATAAAACCATATACTGAAATTATTACACACTTTTTTTGTGCTGAAGTTGTAATTAGCATAATTAAGTACATGATTACAAATATTCACAGAACTTTTTTTTTTTTGGAGAGAGGTTTATTGCATCAGAAAAATGGATCACACCATGTCGGCCTATGCCTTCTTTCTAAATAACAAAGTTATGGGCAGAAGACTGGTGGCACGGGAATTTTTAGCAGTATAATTAATGACACGAACGGGCATAAAAAAATTCGTGCCCCTGATTCACACATGCTCTTTCGCCGCTCTAGCCGTGAAACGCATCATCTTACAGCCGGTCGCGGAAACTCTAATCTACAGCAATTCATTAACCTCGGAACATTCATAGACGTTCGTGGCGATATCAAGCACGGCTCCAAGCACGTCTGAATCGCATCACAAAAGCTTACTGACAGCACTCCATATGACCGTGGGGTGCGCAGCCGCGTGGACAGTGCAGCCGGCGCGTAATGCACTTGCCGGCGGCGTTCGATGACGATGCGCGAAATGTGTAACTACGAAGACAAAAAATCGGCA